GAAATTAACAATAAGTTTTCAAATCTTACAAACTACCTTTAAATTTAAAATTTCTGCGGCAATGCTTAGAATTTTTACTTTTTTATTTTTTTCATACATAGATACATATATGTGACACGTAAAGTTAAAAGGGACCTACGCTCAGAAAAAAAGATTTCAAGAAAAACGACTTTGATGTTTACCAAGTTGATTTTGATGCTTCTGAACGTTTTAATGGATTGAAACTCGTTACTCGGGGGTTTTCGGGGTCGCTGATTACGAATCCGTTGTTAGTTTTCCAAAATTCAAAATGGCGGCCCAATATGGCGGATGACTTTTTTAAAAGTTGATCGGAATCGCTTGAAACTCGTTATCCGGGGGTTTTTGGTGTCGCCGATTACGAGTCCGATGTTCGTTTTTAAAAATTCAAAATGGCGGATCCAATAGGGCGGTAAAAATTTAAAATTTGTTTGGATTCATGTGAAACTCAAAAATGTCGTTGACACCGAAAACGAGGTCAGTGATTACGGATCCGATGTTCGAAAACCCCCGAGTAACGGATTTCATGCGAATTTCATTAATTTCAAAATGGTTTGTCAGATTTGATTTTTTTGTACTTTTTTTTTGTGAAAGTACCTAACTTTGAAGTGAAATTGTGAAAAAACTAATGCAGCTAGAAGCTGCGGTTTATTGCATTGGAAAGAGTGGCCCGTTTACTATAAGAGTCGATGAAAAAGTGAAAACCGATTTTTTCTGACCGTAGGTCCCTTTTAACTTTACGTGTCACATATATTTATTACATTTGTTGCGGCTGTCGGAATGGACAAAATTCCGAGCTGCAGGATCGCTGGATATCGTGCTGGGCAGGCGGTCTGAAAGGACGATTTCCAGAGCCGCACTGCCTGGGCGGGTAGAAAGGACTAGTTTCCACGCCCCACCTTCGCTTCTCTATATTTAAGTAATTAAAATCCAGTAGGTTGTGTTCGGTAGGAAAGGACAAGTTTCCGAGCCGCACTGACACTGGTGTTGGGTAGTCGGTCTGAAAGGACGAGTTCAAGAGCCGAAACTGATATATTGCGGGTATCGAAATTTATTATATTGCGCATTATTTGATAATATCGGATAATTCCTTTCTTTTTAGTCTTCTTGCATATCTCGGGCTAAGAAGATCTATCGCTAGTCGATTTGGATAGTTCATTAACCGTGCTGAGCAACTGGTGCTTAGCCCTCTTGTCCTCATGCGCCGTATTTACATTAAGATCTTTGTGGATAAGTCTTCTATCTAGTGTCATCCCAAGGTATTTGACACTATCTTTTTGTGGTATAGCCTTGCTGTTTATCTTTAGTGGTGGGCAAGTTTCTTTCTTCAAAGTAAATGTTGTCTGAACACACTTGCTTTCGTTAACCTTTATTCTCCAAGAACCTAGCCATAGCTCTAATTTTTTCAAATATTCTTGAAGCTTGTAAGAAGCCTGTTTAGGGTCTGAACTATTGCTTAGGATAGCTGTGTCATTAGCAAACGTTGAAATGGTTAGACTATCATCAGTTGGCAAATCACGAGCGTATATTACGTACAATATGGGACCTAGAACACTGTCTTGAGGGACACCTGCATATATTAGGTGACTTTCCGTTCTAAAGCAATTCTGCCTGACTCTGAAGTTTCTCCCCAGCAGAAAGCTTTCCAGAATTGCATGCGTATTTGCAGGGAGTGAAACCTTTAGTTTGTATATAATACGCTTTTGAAGTCCAAAAAAACAAAGAAAACATAAATCTTTATAAATTTTTGTTTATGTTTCGATAGCATTTTGCTAGGTATATCTTTGGTGCAACAGGGATGATCTTTCGATTGTTATTTTTTAATATGTTAGCAATAAAATTGCGGTCGCGAACGTACGAATGGAAGTCGCTTTTGGCTGCAAATTGAAAAATGTAAGAAACTGTGAAAGGGAACAGAATATTCTCAAGCGATTAATTTATATTAAAGTGGAGTGAAGTAACTTCCTCCTAACTAATTGCGCGTTGAAATATTTATTAGTTTTTTTTTTTATTTACCGGTCGCGAACGTACGATTTTTCTATCATTATTTATCACCTCTATGCCGTAATCCGAATGCTCATAGTTACGAATTCGTAGCTAAGTTCCGAAAATTCGAAAATTGGTATGATGTAATCCGATCGTAACTATCAGCGGCACTGCCAGCTAAAAACGTGAAATTCGAAGTTCTTAATCAGCTGCCTTGACAGAAACAAATCAAAATAAATATAATCGCAAGTGAATAGCGAAATTAAATAAAATTAGTTTAATCGTTACTTGAAAAGACTTTTCCTTAATTAAGTAAAATACAAAGAATTCAGTGATCCGTGCACTTTTGTCCCAGGAGGAAGAACAGTTGCATTAATATACAAAGGAGATTGCTACGAGATTGTTCTGATCCTTTTAAGGGCCTCCATTACACTATTGTGCCGCTTTAATTCTTGCAACGCTTTCCTAAATTCCACCACATCCTTTTTAGCTCCTTTTACAAAGCCTCGAGAAATGTCCGGCCTTTCGATCATGATAGTTTTGTACACATTTAATAATCTTTTTTTTCTATTCACACTTCAACTTACATACACATTTTTGCGTTTAAGCCCAAAATACAATAGCGCAGTGGCAGTGGCAGTGACAGTTTTTAAAATCAGCTGTTACTGCTAATATTGGCAGTCACTGCCGTAGCAAACACAATACGGCGTTGTCAGTGACTGCTTTTTTTGACATTCCCTTTTGTTTGTTTACATTTTTGTTGTTGTCTTTTAAGCTTCAGTGACATGAACAGAAGTTGGCTGCATTTTATTTATGTCAAATTCAGCACGCGAAGTTTGATGCGATGAAGGCAGTTGCAGTGAATTTAGAATTTGGGTTAAACTGAGCAGTTCTGCCACCTGCCACTGCTGTATTGTGAGTCGCTTCATTGGACACCACACATTCTAAAAAACTGCTGATTTCGAAAAACTGCCAC